TTTGGGAAGGATTTTGTTTGCTGGGAGATGCCACAATATGTTGCTCTAAGCTGAACAGAGGAGAGACTGATCTAGAAATGTCGCTGTTAAAGGACAGCCCCATTGTCTTAGACAGGGCCACAGTTAACAAATGATTTTGGAAAGCTGAACTGGGGGCCTGCATGTCCCTGTGTACAGCGGAGGAAACCCCCACATAGGTGCTGCTTGGATCAGAACGTGGAGCAGAACTGTGTGGAACTGTGATTTGGGCTTCAATGGCTGAAAGGATTCTCATCCAGCAGGTCTGGGGTGGGCCTGAGGTCTCACATCCCTTACAGGCGATTAGATGATGTCCTGCTGAGGATCTTTGGGCCACACTTGGGGGCCCTGCCTGAAGGGGTGTACCAGTTTTAAAGGTACATCAGCTACCAATGTCTTTCCTTTCTTAGTGAGGAAGCTGAACACAAGTGACGTCACTTTGGGGAAGCGTTCACTTTCTCTGGCTTGTCTGCCTTTCTGCAAGTTGAAGATGCAAGAGTTAGACAGCTGCCGCTAGTGGCAGGAGGCTCCAGCGTGTGAAGCACCGAGCAGGCACCAAACCTGGTGAGGGCCCTGCCACAAACACTATCTCTGCTTACATCATACCCTGAAGTCAACACGGGGCCACAGCATACAAAAGGAAACAGGAGAGTGGAGCAAAACGGCTTCTGCATGTGGCCCTGGTCCTAAGGAGGCAGGAGTCATCAACACGCACCACGTTTTTTCAGACTCTCTACTACAGTAGTAGAAGCTGTGGTCAAAGGGAAGGAGCATCACCCCGAATCCCAACTTGCTGTTACGCACTTATACTTTCCACTCTAAATTGGCCAGATTGATGTAAGCCTGGCGCAAGCCCTGTTTGCCTGTCTTCCCAGATTTTAATTAAGAGAAAACACACTCAACAAGGGTGCCCCCCCAACATGGTATCGGCGCTTACACCAGACTCCTTAAATTTGCATGCACAGCCTTGCCCACAATAGTGGGCAAGAGTGCGGGGCTCTTTCCCTCAAGGCCGAATCCTGGCTCATAGCTCTTCAGTCAAGGGAAAACAAATAGTCATTCTTTCTCTTGCCAAAAATAGCTTACTAACCCATCATCTGCCCAGAAAACAAACGGAAAATAAAACACAACCAATAGTCTGACACATGCTTATCTCCCATGAACAAGTAGGTGTCAGCACAAGCCTTTAACACAAGTGTAGCAGCCCCGTATGTTACAGCAGAACAAACCTGTAGAATTCCAGTCAGCTCCAGTGTGGAACAACCATGGATTTGTTTGGTTCTTCCTCCTTAAGTAACTAACTGCCTCATTTGGAGTTATATAAAAACAGCCCACGCACTGACAGCCCCTTCACTTATAATTCAACAAAGTTATCATGCATCCCTTCTACGCTGTGTACTCCTCCAGGCTCTGGGCATATGACAATTGGCAGAAACCAGTCCCTCTCCTGTGGTCTAACTTAAACCTCCTCACTGGCTTTATCCGACCTGTATCTCCAAACAGAAAACCACACAAGTAAAAAAAAAAAAAAAAAAAATCCGTCAAGGCATCCAGCGGGAACGGCAGCAGCTGGATCAGAACGTGTGTGTCCCGGCTTCTGATCTGGCCTTTTCCCCCCAACATCACGCCGCACTGAAAGGCACCTTTTGCACAGTGGTGTGGGGTGCCCAGCTGGAATCTGTTCTCTTTAGGTTGCTGCCGGAATCAGTCTGCATTGCCCTCGGAACCTTTATTCTAATGCAATAATCTCAAGAGCATGGGCTCCGGGAGGTAGAGTCTGGGTTATTTTTGCTGTTGCGTGTTTTGCTTTTGGAAACTGGAGGGACGTTTAGGAGCTAAATAAAATCATCATTTTTATTTGATGAGTGAACAGACATGCCAGTTGAAGTTTAGAGGGAGGGAGAAACAGTAGTTCGTTCACGCATGCCTCTGGCCCCACCCAATACGCCTGTCCAGTGCTGGCTGACTCCCCCGTCCTGATGAGTCTGCGGGTGAGGGCTTGCTACAGGATTGCTTAGGGAGAGGCAACGCCACTTCATACCACTTCCACTGCTCTCCCCTTTGCCTAAGTCATGACAGGGCCACCATCATCATCAGGAGAATCTATAGTCCTCCACTGCCAGGGAAAAGGTCATACATGTGAAAAGCTTGAACACGGGGAAGCAGGTGAGAGGAAGGAAGGGCAGGTCGCTGCAGCATCATTCAGTTCTCTTCCCAAGCGGAGAAGTTTGGTCCCAAAGGAAGCCTTTCCCGGCAACGAAGGCTGGAAGGGAGCTGCCACTGGGTGCAGCTAAGATCTGCATTTCTGTCTTCAAGACGGATGGACGTTAGCAAGTCCAACAATTCCAGCGTTTGTGTCATGTGAACGCAAGATTCAGAGTATACGTACTCCGTGTGCGCCCAACTTGGAAATTACAAGGGATAATCTCTTCGGATAGATCCTTGGTGTAGTATTGAGCAAGAATATACCAAAACAACAGGAATTTTAGTCTGTTCTCTCAGTTTGTCAAAACACAGGCTACCTAAGTGTGAACATACGACTCTGAAAACGATCACAGCTGACAGAGATTGGCTCATGTGAGTTCCTGAGCTCTGAGCTAACTGCTTCTCTTCAACAATTTCACTTCAACCTCAGAATATATTGTATTAACGCAGTTTTACATTCGGAGGACCTGAACTCCACAATCAGTAAGTGACAAATTTTAAGTTCAAGCTCAATTTGTATCACTACATCCTGTATTTTTCATGTTGTGTTTGCTCTCATTTGAGTCACCCAGGCACACATAGCCCTGTGGGACACATACCATGACATGATCTAAACTATATTTAATTGAAGGTGGGGCCAAGACTGAAAGAAGAGCATGTACCTAGCACACACTCTAAGGTCAATACCTAACACCCCCCAAATGCAAATGACACATTGGCAATTTAGTTATTGGTACCATTTTAGCAAAAATTAATTAATAAGATCGTATGAGTTAAGTTTTGGATCGCTCCAAACTGGAATTTCCCTAATGCTATCCACAAGGAGCCTATGCCGTCCCTAAAGAAGAATCACTCTGGAAATTTCCACAAATGCCAACGCGCTCTTTGGAGTTGAGTAAAAGATAGATTGAGTAGCAAGGAGCGAGGCTACTGTCTCTGAAGGATTTTTTTTCTCTGACTCTCCCGCACCCCACAGCTATGCTGTATCCAACAGCTCTCCTGGCAATGACTTCACAACCCCCAGTTCCTTAGTCTTAGCCACTGAGAAGTATCACAGTGAACATGGTCCCCCACTTCTGCCTGACCCTGAAGCCATTTTCCTCCCATCACATCGCATCTGCAGCTTGTTCTTGATAAGCAAAGCCCCGTGCTGTTCTTTTAATCAGGCATGGCATTCATGATATCAGGAGAAATGAAACTGAAAGGAGACAAGTGGGATTGCGTGCAGCCTTGCATTTCTTCTGGGGTCACAACTGCCAAGTTCTAATGCAAAATGCCCAAGAAGATTGGTTCTGGAAGCTGCTGCCCTGAGCTGTCAGGGTGGGGTGGCCAGGTACGTGGTGGGGGAGCTGAGCACCGCCACTCACCACTGCTCTTACACTCATTGGCATCCAGAAGTGGGCAGCTGCTGATCACTTCTCTTTCACATGCGCAGCCTGTTTTATGGGGTTTCTAGGGAAAGTCTTTCTTTTAAAACAAGAAAAAAAAAAAAAAAAGCCTGTTAATGAAAGAGCCCCTACATTAACTGTCCAATTCTCTCAGATTTTTCTCAGCTTCATTTAAGATGATGGCTCATTTTCAAATAAAGATTAATCACTCAATTGTGGTTAAAACACAATCTGGGCAAATTAATTTTAAAATGTCTAACTACTTTTATTATGTTCCTCATAATAAAAGTTGAATAAAGGTTGAAGCTCCTGAGGACTTCAACCAGTATATACCGTAGAAACGAACAGTTTGAGGAGTGTGCGTGGCCTTCTCCTCATGCAGCACCTCATTGGATTAAATTATTATTAGCAGCCGTGCCCCAGTCTTGGCTTGACCTCGCTGACCTATTTTTGACAACACGATCCTGGCTCCCTCTTGGCTTGCCATAATAAGTTCTTGGTAATAGTATCCTCTCTAACAAGTGCAATGGAAGCAAATCAGACATTTAGACGCTAGTAGCCCACTGTATGCCAGCCTGACTACCGTGCTGTGTTCTCTTTGGCGCTGAGAAAAGCAGGCTCTGAGTGACTGTTTTTCAATTGCATCCGTGGCTTGGTTTCTCATTCTCCCTGACACAAGCAATCAATCTAAATCCTCCCTTTCCAGTCACACACTGATTTCCAAAACTAAAGCTATAAGCCCTCAAATTCCTGCCTTCCTTTGTGTCGCACAGGACTCTGCTCATCCACAGTGGACAGGACATTTACATTTAACCCACAAGTGGCCCCCACCCCCTCCGAGCCCCCCACATGAAGCACTGTTTCCCAGAGGCGTCCCTTCCTTTCCCTCCTACTCCAGCAGCAGGGCTACAGCCACACATCAACAGTTCTCTTTGGGGAGGTAGAGTACAGAACGGAAAGAAGAAAAGCGAGAGAAGAGCACCTCAAAGCAGGCAATATAACACTCCTGAGCCAATCGCAGCTCTCAGCAGATGCCCTGAGAGGGCTCCAGGATGCTGTCCTGGGGAGCAGTGGTCCCCCAGTGGGATGCACCACATGGACCCTTGGCTCCTAGTTCACCCAACCAAGTTGTCTGTGCCAAGACAATTCAGACTGAACACAGCGTCCTCAGCCCAATGCAATTCCATTTCCACTTCTGCCAGCCTCGGCTCTGCAAAGCCTTCATATCCTCTTCTGCAAAGAGGCAGGAGCTTACACTCTGGGCCATCCATCAGTCACACCTTCTGATTAAAGAGCAGACCAGTTAGGTGGTTTCTATGAAAGATGCCGGGTCAGCCTCCATCGAAAGAACATTGAAATGAAGGTAGAAAGGATTCTGTGTTCACTTACCAGCTCCTGAGGGCTGTGGCTGCAGCCCCACCGCTTTACCTGGTCTCTGGCTGTCTCTTGCCTTTCCCTCTCTCTCTCTCCCTCTTTCTCTTGTGTACAGATTGCAGGGAACTTAAAGAACTCGCAGGGACAGTGTTTCAAATGACTTAAGAAGGAGAACAGGAACAATACTTCGTTCTCTTTTTCTCAGATGAGTACCTTCGGGAAGAAGGAAGGAAGGGAGGGGAGAGGGCGGAAGTCAACAACCCTTCGCTTTCCTGAAAAAAATAAGGAAACAGAAGATAGACATCTCATTTTCTCTTAAACAAAATGTTGGAGGGGGGGGCTGTGGTGGGAGAAAGAAAGAAAGAAAATCTTTACAAAAAAAAAAAAAAAAAAAAGAAGAAGAAGAATTCCTCAAATAAAATATGCTCTCTGCCCTGGGAGCTTTCATGAGACAAAAACTCCTGAGTGGCCCTGTCCTGTCCAAACAAATGCAAGCTCTCCTGGTTGCAGCCTCTGGTATCTGGCTTGCAGAACTGACACAGCCCAAAAGGAACAAATCATGTCATGTCGACTCAGACTTTCAGCCGGGCAAAGTGTGGCTGCTGTGCTAACCAAGGGGAACCTGCATCCTTTAACAAAGGGCAATGTGGCTGGCCACCCTGGCCTTTTGGTTTTTCCTAGCTGTTTGGAAACACCACCGATGCTACAGAGCCTTGGCTGACTCTATGCTCTCCAAGCTCCTCATAATCGAACAGCAGATTTGTACCTGCCCACTGTGCTCTGCGCAGGGCGCCAAGGCCAGTCGCATATTTGCTGATGGATGGCGAGAAAGGAAAACAAGCCGCTTAGCACAAGGCTGCCAGCCATAGTTAATTCCAACTGCTGTTTACACTGCCCTGTCCTCGTTGGATCTAGTCACCTCTGGTACACTGGAAGAAAGGTGCTAAATTGTTTTGAAAATACTTTGAAACAGCTAAGGTCTTAGATAAATCAATCTCTGTTTTTGAAACAGGATGGGAAGGTTGGGTGGAAGCAGAGAAGAATGGAGTGAGCATACTTTACTAAAGATGGAGCTGGGCTCAGTGGTCAGGTCTGGGCTCTGTGAGGGATGGCTGCATTTACAGAGAGATCCGCTGCTAACTCATCCAATTAGCTTTGTGAGTCTTGCTCCCCCCCCCAATTCATTCAGTTAAGACCATTGTCATTGTCACCACAAACAGGAAGCAGCCGTTGTGTGGTTCTTTGCAGTAGCACAAGAAACGCTGGTCATAAGCTGCTTCCTTGAGGAGTAGGGTAAAGAGTATACCTGATGGATTGCCTCCGGAAAGGTGAGTTCATGGAAAGTGAGGCTTGGTTCAGAATTAGTAAGGTACTTTAAGTAGGTACTATGGTCTACAACATTGAGTGTTTATCTTACTTTTTTTGTCTATATCTTTGTCTCTGTCGATCTGCCCACATATATACCTGTCTGTCTGAACATGTGCAAGAGAGAGGGCATGTAAGAATGCTAGTCTGGATGTTTACAAGAACTGGGAGGACCTTGTTCTTGGCATTTTGCATGCACCCAACTCTGACACAGAGACTCCTGCCATGAGTGACCCTGTCCCCATAGGTGAGAGCACCAACAGCCAGCAAAGCTAGCTCTGCCCTTCGGCCACACTCACACAAAGCAGTGCAAAGCAAGCATTCATCTGCCTGAGTCCTCTCCTCTGCCCTTGCCCTCTGCTAGCCTTCCTCTGCATTCTGCCTCTGCAGGGAGGGAGGGAAAGGGAAAATGGAAAGCCAGGGAAGCAGGAGAAGGATACCAGAAAACAAAGGTGGCAAGGATAGAAGCAGAGGCCTTCACTGGGGAGGCGTCATCGGCAAACCTGGAGGCAAGCCTGAGGCTTTAGAGCACGGAAGCTTGCCATACAAGTGGGTCCTGAGAGGGGTGAGTGGGGAGCCAGAGGGAGAGGGTGGCCTCGGTGGTCACAGGTACACAGAGATGGGGACAGACAGGAGTCCTTGCAGCCAAGAAACCTTCACCATGCAAAGGTTGTCACACCCCATGGCCCTTCCTAGCTATTCTTCTTGCAGCCTCAGGCCAGGCCAGGCTGAGCCCCAGGAGTCCAGTCCCAATCCAAAGAATTTTCCTTTCAAGTCTTCAGAATGTGGGGACTGTCACGTTGGACCTTGTTGTTTTCTCAGTGCTAGCTGACCCACCCAAGAGCGCCTGGGTAGGGATGTGTCCATTCTGTGTGCTGTGCTTTGATTCCAGACACCAACTTCTATGAGGGATGGGCCTCCCTGTCGTTGCTCCATGCAGACACCTGGCTGTAACAGGTTCTTCCTCTTTCCCTGTGCTGCCAGTCATATAGAAAGTCACCTGATTCTCATCCAATCACCCACTGAGTGTCAAAAACTGAAAACTCCTCAGCTCCTCCCACTAGGCCTCTGAGAGAGATCTGAGTCAGCCCCTAAGCTCTACTGAGGCCTGGAGGCTGCTCTGGATGGCGCCAAGGTGTTAGGGAATGGCACTTGTGCCGAGCCAAAGCAAGGTGCATGTGTGGCGTGGGTGTAACCTGGGCGTGGTCACCATAGTCTCCACATGGCATGGCTCACTGCAGAGACCATTTGAGTTGGCCGGAAAGGGCTGCAGGCCCATGGGATGGGAGAGAGGAACAATTATGAGACCAAAGCAGCGACCTAGCAACCTAACATCAGAACCAGCTTCCTGTCACCTCCTCTGCACCCAGCTCGTCACAGCTTCCCAATTCTAAACCATCCGAACGTGGATATCTCCAGCTATGACAAGAACTCCAGAGCCTTCTGTTCACCCTTGGGAGCAATTTAGTCCCAGACCATGGAGGTGGGGAGCCACAGTGGAGGTAGGATTGAAACAGAATGCACATTCTAAAAAGTGTACCAAAAGCTTCACATACTGGCCAGCGATACTCCAGAAATGCATCTGTCCGAGCAATAAGCGCTCACTGCCAGAAGCAGGGCTTCTGTGCTCCTCCCACATCTGTCCTCAGAGGACATCATCTAGACAGCTAACTCCAGGTGTGCAGACCTGCTTTTGAAGTCGCATAAAGTATGAAGCTAGCTTTTGTTTATCTTCTTGGGGTTTCTCAGCCTTGACATTTTCTAGATTCCTCACCAGTGCTGAGTACATTCACAGTTCATTCCCATCTCCTTGCTGCCTGGCACTCAAGTTGGGACTACACCGCAATTTACATGTCTGCTTTCTTGACAAAGGACTTTTGGGTCATTTCTAAGTTAGGGCATCGCATCTGTCCCCAGCAGATGTCTTCTTAAAGGTCAGAGGCAGGACTCATTTCTCTCTGGGAAGAATGTCTTTCCCAGTGACTCACTGTTTTCTCTTGGTTGGTTGGTTGGTCGGTCGGTCGGTCGGTCGGTCGGTCGTTTTGACTTCCTTGGCATCCAGGTCCTCGCACATGGGACATGTGACATCAGGTTTCCTTTTTTTACCATATGAATCTGGTTTGAGGACATGGTGATACCTTGGAGATGCTGGCAGAGTGCCCAAGAGGTTTGAAGGGGCTATCAGGGTGCTGTTCTGATTTTCTGCAGGAAGCTGAAGAAGATGGCTCCTGATTTCCATTCCCATGGCATGGACTTTCTCCTCTTGGGGTTCTGTGGACAGTGTGTCTCTACCGCCCTCTGGGTTCCATGTGGACATGCAGAGTCCTACCATCTTAAAATGCTGAAGGGTTGGTGAGATCCCCAGCCTTGAAACATCTTTGGTTAATTGTCTTTCTCTTGCCAAGCCCTGATGTTTTTTTAAGACCCAACTCTCAAAACCATGAGAACATTCATTTCTATCTTCCTTTTTAATTTTAGTTTTTCTGTTTTGGTTTCCTGAAAAGTGATATGAAGATTTCATTGAACAAGTCATTGGGGGAAGGAAGTCTATTATGTGCGTCATTTACGCATTTGCATGCATTTGTAGTGCACTGGGCATGGCACTGTTTGCTCTGGCATGCCAAGACCTACCTAAGAGCACAACAGTGAAGTAGGCTTCCACCATCCATCCCTCTGTGGTTGAGAAAGTGTGGTCATGACACTCACTTCAGCATCATACCATCAATAAGAGCTCAAACCTCATGAATTCTGGCTCAGAACCCAAACTTTAAGCTATGGAACCAAGCGGCTTTGCCCTCTATGAAAGCATTACCTGTCAAGTCCCGAAAGCACACTGCATGTTCTGTAAAATTGGAGAATCTGTGCTTTATAAGGTAGAAGAAAAAATGTATGGTCCAGAAGCTGACTAGGCAATCATATACTGAGCAAGTCTATGTTCCAGAAGGCTCCATGCGCTGAGCCATTAACGTGTTTCTGGATTTTGTTTGCCTGGTGGAGGAGAGAAATACGTCAAGTAAATTAAACAAATCATGCCTAAACAATGATCGTTGCTTAGATAGAGTCTTTTCCAGGGAAAACTGCATGTCAGAAGCATGAGCCAAGCAAAGTTGGTGATGGAACACTCAGGTAAGGACAGCATGGTAGGTCTCTAAATTCAGACTTTGTTCCCGGTCACAAGAAAAATGGAAAACCATGAAGCTTTCACACAAGGGATGGGATCACCACATAGGCATTTCAGAAAGACTAGCTTGGTCACTGTGCAAAGGTGGGTTATGGAGAGGCAAGGATAAATGTGGAGTATTGGCTATGTCGCTGATGTTCTGGTGGGGACTATCAGAAGTTCAGCCAGTCTTGCCAATTCCTGGACACAGGGTAACCGTGACAGCTTGAGAGCTGTGTTTGATAGGTTGTATGACAAGAGAATGAAGATAGGCAATGTGTGGTATAAACATAAGTATCTTATGAATGTCTATCAAATAAGATCTTCCACCACAACTCAAATCCATCCCCATTTTCAAAGCTCAGTACTTAATCTGCCTTTATTCTGCTCTGACCTCCTATCTGCTTGCCTTTCTCTTAGTGTCTCGGTATGTATTCTTATGCCTAAGTTTATCAATACTCACCCAACAGAGTTGTAATGCCTAGTGCTGTCATCAGAAAGCTATCAAGCATTCCTAAAGATTGCCAGAAAGTGGTGGGTTCTAATGACATACTGAAAGTCA